ACATTGAAGGAATGGCGATATATTTCCAAGTCATGGAGGTCGGTTTAGGTCAGTTGGCTGGACGGTTGGTTTGCGAAGCAGCGTGATGCCAAAAGCGCGAGTTCAATCCCCACACCAGCTGAGGTTACCATGAAGGAGTCTCCTTCTCAACCTCTCTGCCCTCGCCTGAGGTATGGTAGCCCTCAGGTTAAATCACTGCCAGTTGTCTCTCTCAGCACTGAAACAGCAACCCTACAATCTGGTAAGACTATGGTGACATACATTCCAAGTCTACATACCTACATTTCCAAGTGAGCATGGTGAGTGGATTGAGTAAGTAGTGATGTTCCCAGATATCAGCTTGCCGTGTCCTTGTCAGTGATAGAGCTTACAAATTTGGAAAGTGGTGTCTATGGAGCCTGGTGAGTTACTACAGCAGATTACAGTGGTACACATTGTTGCCACTGTGCAGTGGTGGTGAAGGGAATGAACATTAGTGGTGGATGTGATACAAATCAAACTGGCTGCTTTGTCCTGGATGGTGTCAAGCTTTTTGATAGCTGCACTCATCTAGGCAAGTGGGGAGTCTTCCAACTCCTGACTTGAGCGTCATAGATGGTGGCAGGCTTCGGAAGTTATTTGCCATGGAATTCTAAGCCTCTAATGTGCTATTGAAGCCACATTATTAATATGGCTAGTCCAGTACTGATCAATGATAGTGCCTAGTTTCTGGTCAGTTGGAACTATTGACGAGAGTTTTGTACAGACTTCTTGATGCCAGACTCGGTCAAATACTAACTTATTGTCAAGGGCAGTCACTCTCTCCTTCTCTCTAGGGTTCAGTTCTTTTGCTAATGTTTGGACCAAGGCTGTAAGGAAGTCAGGGGCCATGGTATAACCCAAAGTGCGCATTAGTAGGCAGGTATTCCTTCACAGGTGCCACTCGCTAGGGCTATTCCCAAGCATTCCCTCTAGTTCTCAAACAGCTGTGTGGATCTCCAAGGAACCTTAAGTTGCTGCTGCAATCAGTATGCCAATGCCAACAGCCTGTGTGGATTATCACATGCAGCCACCCAGCTCAGACAGAATGGTGCTGCTGATGTCTCCTTACATCATTTGCTGATGGTAAAGGAGACTGGACTGATAGCGTGGTATGGTAACTGGCCAGTTCTGAATTGTCTTGCTTAGTTTGTACAGAACATAGACCTGGCAATTTTCCATACTCAAGTAGATGCCCAAGTTGTATCTGTAGATTTGATACATGGAAAGCCCTGAAAGTATTATTGCCAGAATTCAGCATTCAGTGCTTTCAGCTATGTCTTGATGCCATGAGTAAATCAAATTGATTGAAGACTGGCATTTTTGATGATGGAGACCTCAGAAGGATACAGAGACAGAATATCTACTTGACACTTCTGGATGAAGCTGAATGGAAGTACTGCAGCCTTATCTTTTGCTTTAACATGCTAGATTTTCACATTGTTCAGAACGGGGATATTTCTTCTCATCTCGACTCTACATAGTCTCCCTTTATCCAGTCTCCTCTCAGCTACATATGCAACTCTTCCAATGTCCTCTGCCACTTCAACAACATCTGTTTATTTGGTCCTAATTACCAAAATATCTAATTAATTGGGTCAAAATCCTGGAATTCTCTCCCTAATAACATTGTGCGTCAACCCACAGCAGGAGGAATGCAGCGGTTCAAGAAGGCAGCTCACCACCACCTTCTCAAGGGCAACTAGGGATGGGCAAGAAATGCTGGCCAGCCAGTGATGCCCACATCCCACGAAATGAATAGAAAAAAAAATTTCACCAGTCATATTTATGGTCCTATTCAGATTCCCTCATTCACTTCTTTTTCCAGTACATCAGTAACTTAACTGTGCCACTTTCTGCTATTCACAAATGGAAAAATCTGACAAATGTCCTCGAAGTTCCACTCTCGCCTTGTCTTCCCTTGGTCTGAATCTTCCTGTCCATTCCTAGATACTCTGACCACACTTCTGCAGGTAGGCCATGTACCAACAAACTTCTTGCAAAAACTTAATTCGTTTTGTCCTGCAGCTCCGATTTTACCCACAATGATAATTCCACTTTTGCCTGAAGCTCCCAAAAATGTTATTTTGGTTCTGAACTCAAGTTTGTACATCCACAGAAGCTGACAAGGCTCCTTACCAGAATGGTCATTTGCTCTGTTCTAATTCAGCCTTTCACAGATGCTCAGTGATTGCTTCCCCTAATTTTCCATTCCAATCACCTTTATTTTTGCAAAACCATCTTCCAACATTGATATCATATACAAGACAACATCAACATCAAACACATCTTGGCTGCTCCTCTACATATTCCAGAAGGACTCTATCACTTCATCTTCCAACTATCATTTTCCCAATACAAGCACAGAAGAGCAACACCTGGTCATTAACTTCCTATCACTGCTTTATTCATGGTCTAAAAAAAATTCTGCTGAGACAATTTCTATGCTTTTTCCAGGATTCTACAATACTGTATTTGTTTCTTGCAATTTGATCTCTGCTAATGATGGAAAGTGAAACACAGATTTCACTGAACACCTCTGATCTCAAAGTATTGCCCTCAGCTGCTGGCATCCCTCCACTTCTACATTACCTCCTAGACCCATAATGACACCTATGTCTTTGGTCTTGGCACTACTCCAGCCAAACTCAAAGCTAATGTCAAGAATAATATACTTTCTTCTTTCTCCTTTTCCTTTATATAAATGTCTTAAATGTAGGAAAGCATTTTAAAGCTGTTTCAAGTTTATGCCAAGTCTATGAATAATGTCAAAAGCCAGCTTATAACTAAGGAATACCAGAAGGCCAAAGAAAAGTTCACATGCCACCTCAGATTAAATGGTATGAAGGTAGGAAGGGAAGTCATTGCTGGTAATACTCTAGCTAAAATGGATAAGTCAGTGGAAGGGCAGCATGGGGGCTCAGTGGTTAGCACTGCTGCCTCATAGTGCCAGGAACCTTGGCTTGATTCCATCCTCAGGCAACTTTCTCCTTGTGTCTCCATGGGTTTGGTCCAGGCACTTCAGTTTCCTCCCACAGTCCAAAAGATATGCAGTTTAGGTGATTTGGCGATGGGAAATGCAGGGATACAGGGGTAGGGTAGGGGTGGTGGCTCTGGGTGATGATTTTCAGAGAGCCAGTGTGATTCAATAGGCCAAATGGCCTGCTTCCATACTGTAGGGATTTTAATGATTCCATAACTAAGCCAGGCATGCACACTTCAGCTTCCAATTTACGAGAGAAAGACATTAAGTCAGGGATGATAGTCAAAGGCTGCACACGTGGAGATGGATGATAAGGAATATTGCAATCGAGTAATTGCCACTGTGTCAACTGTGGTTCTTATTAGGGATTTGGTTATGTGTCAGAAGCAAATTCCTGCATTGAGAAATTGGAATATGCAGTTGTTTGTAAAAGAGGTATAGCTTTCACTTTCAAAGATTTTGAGGAGAAAAGTCCAGCTGGAGACGAGACCACATCTTAAAGGACAGAGGATCAATATTGTTTTGTTGAAGAGAAAAGGGAGGAGAGCAGTTTTGAGTAGGAGGAGAGGGGAACATCAACTACATCAGCAAATGTACGCCCACAAACGGAATTTGGGTGGTCAGTAGATCAGTATAAATAGGTCAAAGAGCATTTTATGGGGCTTATCGACAAGATAAATGAGGTGACAATTCAACTCTACTCAACAAATTGCAGTTGTTTACAAGGCTCTTACAACCTATTGAGAAAAATCAGTTGCTCCATTAAACAATTTTGTAATGTTATTCCTTGTTTGTAGTTACATGGTCACCATGGATCACTGACAGATGAGGATATTGTGAGTCTTTCTACAGCGTTCACACGAAATAGTAGGTGAATAGATATAGTTTGTACAAATTCAGGAATGTGCAGTCCCATCAATATAATAAAGAACAATCCATTCAGTCACACAATTAACTACAGCCGATAGGATTGCGAGGTAACACCATGAACAGATAAGATTACTGGATCACTATATTTTCAGAGAAGTGAATTAAAAAATTAACCACTTACATATTCCATATGCCATTTGTTCGCTGTATTTTTCCAGATCAAGTTTAATGCTTGACTGAAAGAAATCCAACTTGGCCTTCAACTGTTGAGAACTGGAAAACATTGTTGTCTTCATTTTTGTAAGGTTATTGTTATAACGAAGGAGACTCAGCCTGGTAATAAAGTAGAATTCGTAATCACAAAGTTGATCCATGCAATATTTTAAAAAATAAAATGCTTACAAATTATATAATGACAATTCAATTGAAAGTCTTTTCATTGGAACAATAGAAAATAACTTCTAGAGCGATAGTGAAGAGATTGGCTAATAATGTTTGTCTTATAATCTACGCCCTTTGGCGATTAAAAATCAATGGACTGAATTTGCAAAACAAAATCAAACACAAAAAAGGGGCTTTGGCACAATAAAATAAAATATTGTAAAAATAAAATGTTAAAATATTCCTGTAATGTCATTTCACAACGTAGCCAACTTTAGGTAATGACCTATCATCCAACAATGCCAATAATTAATTGCGCAGAAATCAAAAAGATCAAATGAAAAATCACATCTTTATAGTTGAAAACCCACCTGCTAAACAGAACATTTAAGATCCATTTAAACCACTACTAAACCTTAAGTAATATACTTTCCATGTTGGACAGTCATGCCCAAATATTGTGAGCATTAAGTGATTTTTCAGTTTAAAGACGTTTCCTATTTCATACTTTACACACCAAAGCTATCAAGTTTGCGCACACAAATAGAAACTGGAAATAAGCCTGTTAGAAAATATTAATCTGCACTTGTTGTATACACTGGTGTCTTCTAATCTGGCTGACTGGAAGCAAGAGAGTACAAACCCTGAAATTGGAGTAGAAAACATTATGTAAATGAACAAGGCCAATTTTTCAGACAACTGAACTCAATTGTAATTCCTCCCTTCAATCACCTTGATTAAAGGTTTGTCAGCAAAGGTAAGCCATCTCCATCCCGTCGGAGCTGGCTAAAACAAACAATTAAATGTAGAAACCTTTGCACTTATTCATCAATCCCAAACTATATATGCTACATTAACTTCCAGTCATAGATTCTACTAATTTTTGAGCCCTTCAGACAAATTGAAGTAGACCAGTGAAGCAGTGCATTTCAGTTAGTTTTTTCTACGTAGCCCCAACCCATGTCACTGCCCTTCACTCGTACCTAAATGTTGCCTTCAGAAATATCGTACTTAAACAAAGAATTTTTTTTTTGTAGTCATCCTTAATTAAGCATAAATGGACTTCAAATAATGTTGTGTTAAAGCTCCATTTGCTACAAAAACTGTCAAAATTACCAATGAACACATGATGGCAGCATTTCTCAAAATGTTCTGTATAATTTTGAGAATTAGAGGAATGGATTTCCCATGAAGAGACTCAGCTTAAGCCACTGCACAAGGTGAGACAGTAACCACAAAAAGAGGAAATGGGCCAGGGAGAAAAAGAGGAAATAAATCATTGACGGGTGAATCATCCCAGATTGCATTAGTTTGCCAACTACCGGATAGCATTGTAAAACACCAAATGACTGCTTTCTCATGTGGATCAATGCATGGCTTGGAGATATCAGGGGGCCATATTTTGCAAAACAAAAAGTGAACAACACATGCTATTTTTGATGCACAAATTGGCCAGTAATTTGCAATGAGGTCATGAATTAGCTCATGAAATTCTGAACCATCACAGTTTTGTTTGGTGATTCTTTTATTCATTCACGGAAATGTGGACAGTGCTGGCTAGGCCAGCGTTTATTGTTCATTCCTAATTGCCCAGAGGCCAATTAAGAGTCAATCTCATTGCTGTGGGTCTGGAATCACATGCAGGCCAGATCAGATAAGGTTTGAACCAAGACTGAGCCGAAAGGACATGAATGAACTGGACAGGTTTTTTCGACAATTGATAATGGATTCATAGTCATCATTAGACCCTTAATCCTAGATTTATTTATTGAATTCAAATTCCACCATCTGCTGCGGTGCAAATTTGAACCCGGATACCCAGAATATTACCTGGATCTCTGAATTAACAGTTCAGTGGTAATACCACTAAGCTATTGCCTCCCCTGCAACACTTCTATATTAACTCTGCAAAAACAGAATCTCAATCTCAAATTAACTGTGAGTTGTGACATTGCTGCAATTTAATGTTAACGACCTATTCATCACGAAGGACAATCTAATGATTTTTTTTCCTTTATTCATTCTCGGGATAAGGGGTGTTGCTGGCTAGACAGCATTTATTGCCCATCCCTAATTGCCCAAAAGGCAGTTAAGAGTCAACTATATTGCTGTGGGTCTAGAGTCACATATTGGCCAGACCAAGTAAGGATGGCAGTTTCCTTTCCTAATGGACATTAGTGAACCAGATGGGTTTTTCCCAGCAAGCGCCAATGGATTCACAGTCCTCATTAGATTCTTAATTCCACCATCTGCCATGGCAGGATTCCAACCCAGGTGCCCAGAATGTGTCTGGGTCTTTGAATTAACAGTCCAGCGATAATACCACTAGACCATTGCCTCCCCATCACAAGTGCCTTTTTAAAGTGAAAATTGTTACTGACTGCCAAATTATCATTCACTGAAGAAGGAAACTGAGAAAAGACATAATTGAGATGTATAAAATTATGCAGAACAGCAGTAGTGTCCCTATCCCTAAGCTAAGAGGCCTGGATTAAACTCTCTGTTTCAGAGATATTATTACACAACTCTGAACAGGTTGATTAGTAAATATCAAAACTAGACAGGTTAGTTCGGAAGGAACCTTTCCCTTTGGTGCAGGGATCAATGACCAGGGCAGGAGGTTGAGATCACAGAATCCCTACAGTGTGAAAGCAGGCCATTTGGCCCATCGAGTCTACACTGACCCTCCAAAAAGCATCCCACCCCCTACCCGATCCCTGCATATTCCACCCTAGACTCTATGGGCAATTTAGCATGGCCAATCCACCTAACCTGCACATCTTTAGGCTGTGGGAGGAAACCCGCGCAGACACAGGGAGAATGTGCAAACTCCACACAGCCAATCGCCCAAGGCTGGAATTGAACTCGGGTCCCTGGTACTGTGAGGCTACAGTGCTAACCACTGTGCCACCATGTTTAGAGGAGATGAGAAGAATTTTTTTTTTTCAAATGCCAAGAGGGTGACTCGAATCTGGAACTCACTGCTTGTAAGAATGGTAAGGGGCAGAAATCCTCATAAGATTTAAGAACTGTTTAACAGTGCGCTTGTGATAGAGTCATAGAGTCATACAGCATGGAAACAGACGCTTCAGTCCAACCAGTCCATGCCAAACATAATCCTAAACTAAACTAGTCCCACCTGCCTGCTCCTGGCCCATATCCCTCCAAACCTTTCCTATTCATGTAACTATCCAAATATCTTTAAACGTAATTTACCTACATCCACCACTTCCTCAGGATGCCATGACATTAAGGCTATGGGCCAAATGCTGGGAAGTGGGATGAGAACAGTTAGGTAGTTGTTTTGACCAATGTAATCTCAATGGGCCAAAGGGCCTTTTCCTGTGGTGTAAATCTCTTTCACTGTAGAAATATAAGCATAGGGTCTCTTTTTTCAGGTTGTGAATTATTTAGGGAGATTTAAAGTTGAGAAATTTTGCATTTGATTGTTATCTCAATTTTCCTTTGCTTTCTCTCCCCTCTCGGTTCAACTGGTCCCTCCTTCTGAACTTGATTTGATTCCATGAATTCACACATTCTAATTCCGACATGTTTTCATTCTTTGCTCCATTTCTTAATCCATTAATCTCTGGTTAAAGAGACAGCGTTCCTTCTATTGTATATTACACCTTGGTAACTTTGCTGTCCTGTTTAAACACAAAATATGTATGAATGTCCAATTGATGGGGAACCAGAGTGAGGTCCCACTAGTGCTCCTGAAAATTAAACAACAAAAGTTCATAATCTAATTTATAAGTACCTATTATAAAGAACAATACAGTCATACAAGCATTGGAACCAGCAGTACAAGCCTAAATTTAAACTCCACATTTCCTTGCTTCTGGTCAGCGAATACAGTTCAGAAGTACTTCGCGGACTGTAAGACAATTCAAAATGGACTTAGTGACACAAAATGTCCCATGTAAATGCAATATTGTTCTTAATTAGCCAAGTTCTAGACTGCATCATGAAATGCTGTACATTGGTAAAATGTATTTATTTTCACATGAAACAGTGTAGTTGGCAAAGATGAAAAGCAGTCGGAAAAGTGGCAGGAATTTTGGTTCGATTTGGATAATAAAGACTTTGCATTTTGTTAGAACCTTCATTTTTCACTTTTATCCTTTTATCAATTTTGGTTTGGAACGATGAACTGGGAATGCAAGCTGGACTTTGTCAAACAGTTTGTGTTAACAGGAACTAAATGACTGTTGTTTGCAAGGCCAGGTCTGGAGGTTAATTGCACATGATTCTTGACTAAAAGGGTTCCTACAGACACACTGACCCAGTGAAGAGCACTGTGTTTAAGCAGATAGCAGAAGTTGGCTCTTAACAAAGTCAATACCTGGGTAATGGGTCGGCACATCTAAAATAGACTCTATAGTTCAGCATAAAAAATTCAAAAGAACTGCGGATGCTATATATCAGGAACAAAAACAGAAGTTGCTGGAAAAGCTCAGCAGGTCTGGCAGCATCTGTGAAGAAAAAAAAATCAGAGTTAACGTTTC